GCGTCATCCTTTTCGAGGGTGTTGCCAGCTTTCTTGTACGTCCATGACTGCGGGGGTTTCCCCTCCCTCACCTTCAATCCCGTCCCCTCGCCGTCGGAAACTTCCACGACATGATGCCACCTCGCATCGTACACAGACTCGTAGCATCCCTCCAGTTTTATCGCTACAATCGTCGTCATTCGGTTCCTCGCCTCCTCGGCAGCTGCATCCAAGAAATCTTTAGTGATGCAATGAACACTTGTTTTTACGTTTGCGGCAGCTTTTGACCACCCAAATAGATTGATGACATCCTTATCGCGAAGCTTACTTCGATCTTTTTCGAAGATTATTTCATCCCTTACAGCCCCCTCCACCCTCGCATAAGCATCGGTTATCTGTATTTCTTTCAATACTCCTTTATCACGGATATACCTCGCGGGATCCTTGAAAAACTCCTTCAGCAAGACATTCCGATTGGTGTCCACAACGCCCCTGCCGCCCAATTCCATCGTAAGAAAATCATTCAGCTTCTTTTCCTTGACGCAGACTCCTCCTTTAAACAGTACATCTTCGATCGTAGTGGAAATGGTAAATTTCATTTCTTGCGCTCGTCTTACCCTTTCTTCTGCCTTCCGCCACGCTTCTGTCAGTACCTGAGTGAGGGCTGCGTTTAGTTTTCCCCTTGCAATGGGAGTGACTGTATCCTTTCCCTCATAGTCCCTCCATTGCTCGAGCGAGACCACACCCTCGTGGTGAAGCTTAGTAATGGCCTCCAATAGAATTTTCATCTCATCCAACTCTCTTTCCATCTCTTGGTACTCTGTTAAATTAAAAATAATTCTAAGAAGCCGCTGGTCTTGCACGTAAGCATCCGGCTCCTGAACAAACGCCTCCATAATGACGTTCCCATTTCTTTCCACAACCCACTCATCGCCCAAGTTGCTCCAGAGGAAATCGTTCAGCTTCATGTCGGTGCTGTTATTGCTTCCACCCAGAAGGATGTCCTCAACGCTGCTGCTCATGGTCCACTGCGGCCACACTTTACTCCTCACCACATGTCGAGCTGCAGCGTCGGAACCATCACAAGAGCCGCTGCGAGGTGCCATCACAACACCCGTGTGGTGAAGCATCCCACTCGCACCGCCCAACCGCGGCCAGCAGGTGCCGCTGGCTCCAAAGGACACTCGCGGCTGTCTCGTCCCGCAGTCCCAATGGAGTTGGGCGTGGCACTCGCACGGCGGGGCGGTCAGTGCGCCATGCAGCCGCACTGCAACGCCTGTCGGTGAAGCAGTCAAGGCCCACCGCCTCCGCAGCAACGCAACGTGCAATCGGCCACAACACCGCCACATTATCGTCCTTTTTTATTCTATTTTATTTTATTCACTTTTTCTGTTTGTTTGTTTTCCCGATCACTAACACTAAAAATAAGTGTGCACCTTCACAAAAAAATAAAAAGAAAACACGATCCCACCGTCCCGATGCAACTCAGCACTCTCCTCCACACACCACCATTGTCGCACAGAAGACCGCGGTCACATCGCAGAGTCAGCACCACAGTGTGCACCACACCATCGTGCAGTGAACGATGGGCGGGACGCGGCCATGCATCGCCCCGCTACATTTTCCCACCAATCAAGTGTTGCGTGCCCGCACAAAGTAGCAAACAGAATCAGAGTGCACACAAACCCAACCAACACCCTCACTCGCTGAAGCACATCATTCGCATGGAGTGACAACATTTGGGGACACACCGGCAGTAGCAGGCTGCATGGAATTTCCCTGCCAGCCCTGCAAAGAGACACAACAACTCTGCGGAGTCAAAGTGGCAGCCCCTCGGTGTTGCCTGCAGCTCACATGGCAGGAAGAATTCCACGCACGCATAGTTCCGGACCCCGTGCTGTTTGAGTGCCCAACAGAACATGTGAAAAAAAATAACTGCGCGCGAGATGGAATTATATAAATGGAAAAGTCGGCCTGCTTTCTCCGATGGCGTTGGCAAGCAGTCCCACACAATCCAATCAAGGTAGCACGCCGGACAGAATGGCGTCCGTCAATCAATAAAAAAAAAATGCGACACTGAAAGGGAGCAGAGAAGAGTTGGCGCATGCGATTGCCAGCAACAACTGTGAGCAAACCCGCCAGCACCAACTGAGGTGCCGAGGAGCACGTTTGTGCAGAACTGGCCGTCAGGCAGAGAGGACAAATAAAACAAAAGGGCAGCAAACCCTCTCGTTCAATGTCTCCTGACCGCGAAACCAGAATCAAAATACCATGGACGACAAGAGTGGCAACGCCTTCTCCAAAACATCGTGTCAAGAAGCCGCAGGACTTCAGGAAGGGAGAAAGGCAGCGGCGGCAGCCACAGCGGGGGAGGCAATAAAACGGCTGGCAGGCACCTTCACTTCGACGCGCACACCGCATCCGAGTGGGCCGGGAGCACAGATCGAACCGCTCGGAAACACACGCATCAAATCCGCAAAACAAAGTCGCGTTGAATCGACAGGAACTCCCCGCCCAAAACAAATTTAAAAGGTAGCGTTTTTCAAGGGGGAATCCGCTTTTCCGACGACGGCACGGACGCCTCGCAGGAACTTCTTGCAAGTCTCCCTTCGCAGGTCCGCAGGAAAACGCAGCGGAATAAAAAGAGAGCGCAACGACGCAAAAAAAATAATAATCCTCCTAACCAACCAGGTGGCAGGCCGCCCTCGCGCAAGTGGACAAAACAAAACTTCACTCCGGTCTTGTCGTGGTGGTCGTCTCGCAACATTTTCTTCCTTCTCGTCGCAGTGCACATCCCCTCCCACAAATCATTTGTTCGGGCCATGTTCCTGCGGCCAAACATCGCGCTGCTCGATCCCGCGGCACAGTCCTCGGCACAGAAGTGAGGGAAGGAAGAGGGACCGCAGAAGGTGCGAGCAAACCCGAATTCGGTGGCGGTCGCTGCAGTGAAGATTGACGTCCCACGCGGTGTCCCTTTTCTAGGTCCGGTCCTCACCGTGCCATGCTCTCAGCGTGCGGTGCGCCGACCGCTCCGAACATCCACACGTGCTTGCGTCTCACCGTCGCTCGCAGCCCCGTTCGTTGGCTGCATCAGGGATGCCGCCATCCAGAGACGGGCATAAGGACGTTGCATCCAACAAAACCTTCAGAGGCACCCGGTGGGCCAACGACGACCGTCACTGCGGGATGCGTGGCCCTTTCGCCGCTCACCTCAAATCGCGCTTCTACGCCTCCTCGAGCAGCAGAATAAATACACCGGTCCACTAGAGGCCCTCACCAGCCATTGCAGGAAGACCACTGTGCCTCGGTGTTATAAAACCCATATTGCATTGACGGACCACTTCGGAAAATCATGTCGCATCCTCCCCCATTATGCGGAAACACATCCGTCGTGCATTTGGCCACCGCAGCCAAAATAATCCGGTCCAAATACCCTCCAAATCAAATTCCCCTTTCCTCAAGCCATTCCCTCATTCCATGCGCCCTGACCCCCATCCGCACGTGCCCACTCACACAAACCGCAAAAGAATGGTGGTGGCCGCCCAACGCTCCGAAAAAATATGCCCAGCACGCACGCGCACAATAAATGACATGCGCAAACGCACGGCAAAACGGCGGAGAAGCGCACACCGAAAGGATGCGGCCCTCCACAGCAGTCGCAGCCCACCGCGCGCATCACACCCGCAGGAAGAGTGACTAAGCGGTGCGCGCTCCCTCTCTCCTCCTCCCTTCATGCCCACGGAAAGAGGCAGCAGCCACCCGCAGCCGCCAGCACACGCTACAAAAGAAGCATCAAAACCCACTGCAATGTGCATGTTGTGTGGTTGTGTGTGCCTGCAGACACACGAGGCAAGGAAGTAAAAACAGGGGCAGAGCATGTGAAGGGACGCACAAGCAAAAATGTACAGCAGAGGTGCATGGCAGAAATAAAGAGAAAAGGACTGCTCAAGCTCATGATATTGCACTGCAGAGAAAGCAGCGGCAATTCATAAAAAATTTATTAAAAAAAAAATTCATCTTCACCCTTCCGCTCCTCACACTTTGGAAAAAAGAAAAAACAATAAAAAAGGAAAAAAAAAAAAGAATGAAAAAAGTCGCCCTCTATTACAGCTACACACAAATAATAATAAAATGAAAAAAAGAAAAAGAAAAGCCACACACACAAAAAGCACCTAACTATCATCTTGCTCCAGAAATTGTCTGCATATTTTTCCCGAAAATTAAAAGATATTTAAATGTCTTTCAACCGCCTGACCTTCCGTGTGTGTCCGCACATCGTTTATATTTCACGGGGTCATCTGCGTGTTGCTCCTCCCCTCAGTCCTTTTATTGGTGCGTGAGTGCGGCCTGCAGGGCTCAGTCACTCGTGCGTGGAGGGACTGAGAGAAGCACGCAGACATGACGGCAGTCGCGTCTCTCCATCGGGAGAGTGAGCGCAGCAAAAGAAAAAGAAATCATCGGAGGGAAAAGAAATGCTCACGAGGCCGACCCCGAAGAGTGCGCCACCGCAAAAAAAAAAAAAAAAACACGCAAAGCAAAATAAAATCCTAAAAAAGCGGCAGGGTGTGGCTGTGTGTGTGGCGCTGCGGGTGTCTGCCAGCCCTGGCCGCAAAAACAAAACAAGAGGGGAAGAAATGTGTGCTCCGCCCCACAGGCCCTCGTCGCACGCCCACACGTCACGGCTCCCTCAGCGCGCCGTTCGTCGCGGCCCCTCCTCATGCGTGCAGCAGGCGAGGCGCACAGGGCCGTCGTCATGAGCGTGTCGGTGGGTGTGCGAGTGGAGCAGTTGGGCGGGAAACACACGGCACCCCTCACAGGAAGAGTGCAGCAAGAAGAAATTAAAAGAGGGAATAGTAAAAAAAAGTCCATGGTGGTTGTCCTAAATCATCAAGCAAAAGAAGGGAAGTAAATTTAAAAAAAAAAAAGAAATTATTCTCCACGGAGCAAAATGTATTCCTAGCGGTGTGTGTGTGTCGCTGCAGAGGAGAGCGCAAGTGTTCCGCACTGAGGGCGCACACTCCTCACGCAGCCGCAAAGCCCCACAGTCCCAACAGAAGAAGCAGCAGCGGCAGCAGTCCGCTCCCAGCAGATGTCAAGCCCACCACAGCCGCATGTTCTCTGGCGGCAGCTCCCTCCAGAGCTGCCCACCCCGCCAGTGCTCCCCCCGGGCCATTCAAAGTGTGGGCCTTGTCCTTGAGTGCATTTATCTCGGTGGAATTCAGTGGGCGGTTGTACAGAAAGACGTTCTTCACCGTCACCTTAGTTTTCTGGCCGGCATCCTCACCGCACGCGCCAAAGCAAAAGCGTACAAGCTCAAGTGGCGCCTCACCCGTTAACGGCACCTCTTCCTGCCTCAGAAACGTACCATCAATGTACACAGAGGCCTTTTTGCCTTGCAGCATGAGTGCCACTTGGTATCCCTTCTTCGGCTCCCAAACGCCGCTCTGTGTTGTTTTCTTTGCTTTGAGCCACGTCCCCCACTTCTTTATCCGCGTATACGACAGT